AATACCAATGCTCAGTTACCGTAGAGCATTCATGTTAGAAGACACGAGTACAAGCACATCATTTGGTTGTGTTCTTACCCTAATCATTAGCTATAGGAAATATTCAGAATGGAAATAAAAGGGAGAGGAAAAAAAACAAGAGTTATCAAATCTTATTAGTTCATAAAAACAAGAACTTTGAGGAGTTCGGAGGCACTGGGCTCAGCTGGTTTTGCTGATCAAAGGGAATAACTCATTTAAAAAAAAAAAAAAACTGAATTCTGACTGAGGAGTTCATTGCTTGTATATGTACACTGCAGAAATCTAAGAGCAAACCCAGAGCACTGAAACAGGAAAAAGTACTGCAACACCAGGGAAAGTCTTGCAAAGGAAGCTATTCTCGCCCCTTTTTAAGTACTGAGGCAATAACACTATTACTTTAGAGGGCATCAGCGTGTGTAACACAGGCAGTCTACTCTTGAGGTCTGTGCCAGGATGATCTTAACAAAATGTAACAGTTCTAAATAAGTAAAATTAAATTTACAGCTGTGTTGCATTTTTTACATGCATTTTTTATGTAAACCCTTATATGGGCTACAAGATATTATAAGACCAGGCAGATACATGGGTAAAAAAAAAGGTCAGACTTTATTTTAAGGTCTAATTCTCACTATTAACAAACCATTAACTATGATTTTTGCCTAATTTGCTGCTTATTAATAGTTAGTAAGGTAGTTGTTAAGTTTAGGTACTGGGTAGAATTAGGAATGTAGAATATGGTCATGCAGAATATGTGCTTTATAAGTACTAAAAAACAGTTAATATGTTAATAATAGTCATGCTAATAAACAACTAGTTAATAGTGAGAATTGATCCCCATACTAAAGTGTTACCAAAAAACATTATTAATAAATATATAAAAACAATACGAATGATACGAATAATACGACTACTTATCCTATTGATATACAGACAGACAGTAACTAAAGAGAGAGGGGGCAGCACAAGGAACTGTTTGGAAAAAGATACCTACTAGGTCAACATTCATTTTCAACCAGAGGGATAATAGTGTAACTGACAATAGTGTGAGGACGGCCCCTCGAGAGGCCCCTGCAGCGTCGACCCTGTCTGTATGTATGGAGCAGTGCACACCTTTCGTCTCCACCTCTGATGTCTTTGAAGAAAGGAGATATGAGGGAAGGGTAAGGAGAAAAGAACAAGGAGATGAAAAGAGAGAAATGTGTATCCTGTAACTGCATGACCACTGATGAGAGCTGCGATTGCTGCCTGCCACCATATAAAATCCCTTAATAAGACACTATCACCGCAGCAACACTGATTTACAGCGGACATTTACAAAGGCAGAGCAGCACCATTAACACTTGAGAATGAAACCACAGATCACACATACAGTGCATCAAATGGGCACAACCGTACGCAGAATACAGGCCATTTCTGTGAGATATCACCAAGAACGTCTGCAATGAAAAAAAGGAAAACAGCAGAACGACACAGCCCCTGTAAATCCACATTATAACAGTCATTACATCTGCTTTTTTAATAACCCTTTCCAGCGAAATTGTATAAGCTTGAATGAGTTGTTTTAGGCAGCTGTTATATTTTTTCATTATGTGACATGAAACGGAGGAGGTAGAATTCTTCACAGCAAAACAAAGCTCTGGTAATATTAGTGAAGATCAATTAAATTTTTTCTATGGAATCCAAAAGCAGTCTGATTTATTTTATAGAGGGTAATTTCGAAGCACAGACGAGAGGCAGAAACACAAAAGTGGGAAATGGAGGAGCTGCAATTTTGGACGGTGGTGGTAATGTGCCATAATCTGCTGCCAGGAGATGCCTGATGCAGGACTCCAGACTAAAAAAATTGACTCTGGAGCCACTGAGGCATAAAAGGAAACATTCAGGAGCCAGATGACTTTTTCTGTTGCTGAATTATAGAATCACTCAATATAGATCAGAAAGTACTGTCATCCATGCTGATGAATAGTTATGTCAATTAATTTTGAGGATCTATTGCAGTGGATTTACATGGAGGCGCATCACACTCTGTGCTTTTCCACTTTGGCATTGTTAAAAGACCAGTTAGCATGTGGAATGACTGCAGAAGTATATTTATAAAAATACGGTTCTGTTCTTGGAGCTCATAGCTTGTTCATTTGTTTCCTTTCAATCAACAAACACTGCCATGGGCTGCGACAAAGAGACATTTGATTAATCTAAATCAACGACTAAATAAATAAGGATAGCACAATATAATGTCTAATAATTATATATAGCAATTATAAATTGTAGATGTAAAGATATTAGGTATATTTTATTGGTTTGGGGTAAGATCTTTTTAAATGATCAGAAGTGACAGAATTTTCACTTATTCTAAAATTACATGTGACACTGAATACTAGAGTAATATTTTTACAATATTGCTGCTTTTACTGTATGTTCTATTTTTTTGTCTATTTTAAATAATATAATATAATATAATATAATATAATATAATATAATATAATATATAAATGTGTGTAGAGAGAGAGATAGAGATGCTTACAGAGCGTGTATGTACAGAGTGTATATGTATGCCATCAAATAGCAAGGGTTAATAGGTTAACCTTGGCCCCTTGGTGCACTCACCAACATTCAACCTCATTTTTTCCCTGCCTTCTCTCTTTTTATGTACCAAAAACTTGGGTAATGAACAGACCCCTGACAACAGCAGTAAAGGTTGTCTTGACCCCATAAACTGTAGTCTTTCATTACTTTTCAAGAACACGTTGTTGTAATAGACAAATATCATATTTGGTTAGTACCTGCTATTCCATTCAAAAAACCCTAACTGCAATCCTAATTTCTTGACCAGTGGCTCACTGGACATCAAGAAAAATCATGACAAGCTCTTTAAAATGACACAGGATTGCTTCTTATAGCTACTAGTGGACATCTTTCTGCAAGATGAGATGAATGCAAGTATATTCCAATACATACAGTGGTGTGAAAAAGTGTTAGTCCTGATTTCTTATTTTTTTGCATGTTTGTCACACTTGAATGTTTCAACATTAAAGTGTGACAAACATGCAAAAAAATAAGAAATCGGGAAGGGGGCCAACACTTTTTCACACCACTGTATAAACATGCTGATGACATCAGTGCTCACGTGGGAAGCACACTGTCTGGAGTCATCAATCATATCAGGAAATGAGAAGCCCTGATATACTGGGTTAAATCTAAAATAATGGAAAGCATTATCCATCAGTCATGCCTTGAAAAAAACAATGGATCCGTTTCCATAGGGATCCATTTCAAGGCCAGACTCAAGGGAACACTCAGAGAAAATCGAAAAACGCTGTCAAAACCAATTTACTCAGCAAAATCAACTAATATGTGGGGGCACTATTGCTACTTAGTAGGGTCTCTTGGTAATCTATACTGTTACAGAAAGTGCATGGGTCACTATCGCATGAAAACAGCAAAATTACAAAGGTGTCATATCGTCATATCACCCGTTTAAACTATATGTCAACATGCTGGGGGATTTTTTTAAACCCAAATGCTGGGTTAGGACTGTTAAGATCCAATTTGGATTGATAATCGTTCATAATCAGTAACCCAACTATGCTGGGTTTGGAATGCTGACATGAAAGAGATGGTGCCACATGCAAAAGCAAGCAGTTCTGTGTGCACTAGGGGTTTTTTCAAATTTTTGAAATGTCAATTGTTGATTTCGGGCAGTAATCGATTTAAACCGGTAAGAATTGAATGAATTGTGATTTCTATAGCGATTCAATGCTTTACAAGCACAAATTAATGGGGACCTTGAACAGCGTTGTTCGTGCCCTCACATTTCTTTTTCACGCGCTCCACTATTTACCGCCAGTCACAGAATTGCGTTCGCGCTTTGTTCATAGCTCTCATCAACACATTTTTTGAGCTGCCAATGTGTGATCTCTCCTTAGTACTCGTGGCCAGTACTGCTAAAGTAAAGTAGTTTTTACTTTTCTGTTTTTCAGTGGCTCTCAGTCATGCCATTGACATTAGCTGAGCAGTTGAAGGCTGCACATTTGGACAGAGCAAAAACAATGTAAGTGTCTAAAAGCATACATGTATTTTCACTGAATGATAAATGACTTTTAACTTAATGTTGTTAAACCGAATGTACAAATGAAAACTTAAAATAACCACAGCATTAACAACAACCTTGAAATAAGAGAGCGAGGTTTATCTGTCAATCACACGCATGAAAGTTGCGTTCGTGATTATAGCAAACAGACATCGGGTGCATCCTCATTCGCCGATAAAAAGAAAAAGTTAAATGCTTTAGCATTGTATTTTATGAAAATAAGATAAAGAAGCTCATATCATGCAAAGGTGTGACATAAAATGTTACCCTATACATTCACACTATGCTACACAATAGTTAACACAAATTTTACAAACCCTAGTGAAAAATATACTAAAATATATTTTAAATAAATGCATTTCATGCTAAGTATACTACAAATAAAATTACATGTTTATGTACTTAATAAAAACACCCTGCAATTGTACTTTTAGGCCCGGTTTCACAGATGGGGCTTAGGCCTTAGTTAAATTAAGATATTTAAGCAGCTTTTATAAAAATGCCTTATAAAAAAAAAACGTTTCAGGTGTGCATCTTGAGACAGAACAATGGCACTGACATAACCCTATGAATCGTGAATCGAATCGAGTCGCAGTTTACTCAAAGATTCACAGTCCTAATGTGCACCAATACCACTTTGCATATCCACGTTCTAGTTTTGGTGTTGTACTATATCATTATCTAATAATTTAAATACTTTTAAGTCATCCTGCAGCACTAGAAGTTTGCTAAGGCCCTCTGGTTGAGAAACACCGTACTTGGCTGAAGTCAGCTAACTTTCTGTACAGTCCAGCTGACAGAGCAACATATACTGTGAGGACAAGGGTGGTTAAAAGAAGATTAAAAAATCTTCAGAGTACATGGTAGATTAAACTTTGATTAAAATAACTACCTGATATACATGATAGGCGTTGGCAGCCCGACCTTGAAGGAACACAGAGGGGATCCACACGTTGATAAGGGCACGTTGTGTTCTTAGAGAGACAAGGAAGGAAAAAACAAATTGTGAAAGTCTAATTAGAGAACCTCAACAGAAGAGTCATTTAGCAATAGATTAGTGTAGCTACGATCACTTTATCGGCCCAGGGGTATGAAAAATCACTCCTTTGACAAACTGAGGGGGAAAAAATAACATTGACACCTTGAGCCATTACTGGGAAAAAATAGTCTTTTACTTAACACACAAGTTTAACATTGTATGCCTTTCCTTCAGCCATTTTTAATGACTGAAATCTTCTCAGCTACAAAGGTTATAGCTATGTGGAAGAAGTGCGTGAAGGCTCTGTAAAAACAGAAAGAAAATATAAAAACAGAAGCAGCATTCAGCTTCTCTATTTTTAGCACAGTCTTCTAAGTCAGATCGAAGGCATCGCTTTATGGAATTCCATACCATCGATTTGATTCTCAAAAGAGGCTTGCTGTACACCACCTCCAACATAAATAAATACAAATATAAAAAGAACAGCGAGTAGGAGGCCACTTACGTCTCGAAGTCAGAAAGGCTGGGATCGTCAGAGGTCTGGCTCAGGTCCCCTGGCACCTGTCCAAAGGCAGAGCGCATGAGGCCATAGTGAGCTTTTCCTTTTGCATCCAGCTGAGTTTGCTGATTAACACTGTACTGTTGCATAAACTTCCAAACCAGCTACTGTATATTCTGTAGCTTACTTTCCAGGCATGACAGTCCAGTGATATTTACTGGGAAAAAAATGAATTTGGACCCAAATAAAACTTGGGAATTGTCATTTGCTTTCATAATATAACATGTTTCTGAATCAAACAAGATATTTAGCTATTTAAAAAGTAGGAGAGTACTTGATTTTATGCATCAGGAAATAACTGAATTGTTTGTAACTGAATGAAATTGTGTTTTGTTTTTCACGATCAATCGTCGCTGTCACAGCGGAGTACTCGATCGCTGTTGCACATCCCTAATATATGTGTGTCTATATATATATATATATATATATATATATATATATTGTACTGTATATATATGGGATGTGCAACAGCGATCGAGTACTCGGCCATGCGCTGCATATCACCAGTGTTTAGTTTCATGCTCAAATCCAATGCCTGATATTGACAGAGTTATTTGAGACGGTCATATTGCTTTTAGATGTTTCTTTTTTTTTAAATACATATGTTATAATAATGCAGAAGTGCTTTTTTCGTCATATTTGTTCAACAGTCATACTTCAATTAAAATTGTTTTTGTACTTCATATGGCTTCGAAAACATGCAGGCGATTTCAGGAATCACTTGATAATGTAGATGAAAATATAGCACAAATCTACCATAAACATAGCAATGAGAACTTTATATAATTCTAGCCTATAGTAAATTCTGTCCTTGTCCTTGTTTCAGCACGCTGTTATGTAAGCGCATCACGGCAGGAGCTCTCTCTCGCGCTATAGCACGTAACTTAAAGGGGTCATCGGATGCAAAATTCACTTTTACATGTTGTTTGAACATAAATGTGTTGGCAGTGTGTGTACACAACCACCGTATATTGATAAAAATCCAGCCAGTGTTTATTTATTTTTTAATCCCGATAAACCCA